AGAATAATTACATTTTTCGAGGAATTCGATTAAAATTCTTTCAAAAATAATTGAAATTCTTTAATGAGTTTTATTATCTATGAAAACAATAATTGAATCCCTGTAAAAAATTGTATTACATATTAATAAAAATAATTGAATCTCTGTAAACATAAATTGAATATTTTTGAAAATAATAGAATTATTGCGAAAAAATTTATAAAAAAATTTTAAAATAATTCATTTCTTTTGGAAAATTTTATTAAAATAGTAGATATTGAAAATCATTGCCTGGGGGAGAATTTTTGAAAAAGAATTGAATTTGTTAAAAAAGAATTTTTCATTAAAATTTTTGAAAATAATTGAATTTTGGAGAAAAATTTTAATATTTATAAAGATATCTGAAATTTTGACGATAAATTTTTTAAACTTTCGACTATAATTGAATTTCTGCAAAGAATTTAATTACTTTTGAAAATAATTGAATTTCTTTGATGAATTTTAATAAATTGTTTAAGAATAATAAATCTACATTTCGCGAGCAATTCCTGTAAAAGTGTATAAAAAATAATTGAAATTTTGCGATGAATTTTATTATTTATGAAAATAATTGTAAATATATAAATTTTTTTATTATTTGTGAAAATAATTGAATTATTGCGAAGAAAAATTATAAAGGCAACTCTTTTAAAATTGAATTAAGAAATTTTAATTAAAAAAATTGAGTTAAAGAGAAATTAGATTTCAAGAATAAGCACAATAACTTTCGAAAACAATAATTTTCCAGAATTCCAATCAAAGTTCCCTGACTTTTCCAGGTTTTTTCAAGGTTTATAAAATTCCCTGACATTTCCAGGTTTCCAGGTTGCGTGGCAACCCTGAATTTATTAAATACTGCTTGACCCTTGCTTACAGAATTTTTCCTTCTCCCACAACCCTGGAAAAACTACTCATAGCATATTTGAGATAATTTTTAACTAATTTTTATGAGAAGTTCAGTTATTTAAAAAAATGTCAAAACATTTCAGTTAAAAATAATATTTATAAATATAAATACATTATAATAATCGTAAGTTTCCTTTCCGTTAGCAAATTTTCTGCATTCATTTGTTTGTTTTGAAATTTAATTTTTGTGGGTTATTGGCATTTTTTATTTTTTTCCTGTTCTCAATATTTAATTCTATATACAATTTATTATATTGAATTAAATTTTTATTTAAATAAATAATTTTACAATTTAGTCTAAAGGTTGGTGTCCATAATTTAATATTATATATTATTTTAATATAATATTGTTAAAAGATATTTGATCAAATTTATTTTAATTCATTTTTATTGTTACTTCTAGATTCCCCAAGTATAAAATTATTATTATATTATTATCAGTTATTAATTTTAAATAATTATTTTTATAATTTGTATTTTTTATTCCTGACTTTTTCTAATTTTCATCAAAAATATTTACTTTTTTCTTATCCTGTTAATAAATTGAATTCCACCAATTAATTTTAATATTTATAAAAGTAATGTCATTCTTGAGAAGAATTTTATAAAAATTTTTAAATAATTGATTTCTTTTGACTAGTTTTACGCAAATTCTAATTTAAGTAATTGAATTCCTGAAAAATTTTTATTATTCATGAAAATTTTTTTTAAAATAACTGAATTCTGTATGAAAATTTTAAGAAAATAGTAGATATTGAAAATCATTGAATTGTGAAAAGTTTGTTAAAAATTTTATTAAATTTTTACATTCTCATCATATGAGAAAGTATTAGTTTTGGTCGAAAATTGACTTTCGCTAATTTCATGAAATCTCGACGTTTTAAGGTCCCCTGAGTCCGAAAAACATGGTCTAAAAAAAGTGTCTGTCCGTATGTCTGTCTTCGTGTCTGTCTGTAGACACAATGGTGTCCCTACGATAACTCTTGAAAAACTTATTGCATCAACTTGCAACTTTGTATGCACAAAGTTAGTGTTAAAATACAGATCGAGTTCGTTAGCCAGCAATTTTCGTCGAAAACTACGCAAACTACAGTAGTTTCAAAATTTTGAAAATTCAATTTTTTCAAATTTCATTATTTTTAACTTTATATTACTTTAGATTAGACAAATACAAACAACTTTCCTCTACAACATTTTTTCATAGAAAATTAATTTTTTTTTTTTTAAGTTTTTGGGTCAGGCTAGCTTAACTGGGTTAAAAAAGTTTTATTGATTTTCTAAAATGTTATAACTAAAATATATTCATAAAAGTTTTAACATTTTAGAAAATCAATGAAATTTTTTAATGCAGTTTGGCTGGTCTGACCCTTTTTTACATTTTAATTTTTGGTCCTATCTTGTTGGAAATGGTTTTTTACATTCTAATCACATGAGGAGGTATTAGATTTGATGAAAAATTGACTTTTTATACCTCAGGTTGAATGAAAATGGCGACCTTTTTTTCCCATGGACAAAAAAAACAGCTAGTCCCATGCGTTATTTTTGCTCATGGAAAAAAAATGCCGCCATTTTCATAGAAATCGAACAAGTGAATGAGTTTTACTCCCTGTCGTCTGCTATCTTAAATCGCCACTTTTGTGCCTTTGGAATAAAAAATATCGTAAGTTACACGGGACTTAAAGGCTGCCTTTACGGTACCTTGTTGCTTAATATACTATTTGCTAATTTTATGAAATCTTTGCGTTTTGAGGTGCCCTGAATCCAAGAAACATGGTCTGTCGATTACGTCTGTCTGTCTGTCTGTCTGTCCGACGATAACTTTTGAAAAACTTAATTTTTTCAAAAACTTTTTTCGAATTTTTGACTTTTTGTCTCAGCTTAGTGGAGGTGTTTTACTTTTGCTTGTTAAAACGATGGGTAAATATCACATTCACTGTATCCAAATTTACATGTTTTTAATCATACACTTGATATATATTTACAAATCACGTATATAGGGAAAACGGGACATAATGGCTAAGGGGCGTAATGAATAATTGTAATTTATTTAAAAATCGTAAATCGAAATGATTTCACTCCTAAGACAACTTGATGTACTGCAAGTTTCTACAAAGGTTGATTATTTATTATTCAATAACTATTGTAAGAAAAATAGTAGAAAATCTGTATTTCACATATGAAAGTAACTTTTCAAAATTTTCATTTTTTCATTCTAATTTTTTTAAAATAACTTTAAAAAAGAAACTAAAATCGCGTTTTAAGCTTGAAACATTTTTTGAGGGTCAATTTTAGATTTTTGATTCACACTTACTGTATTGATAAAAATTACAAAATATTTCCTAAGTACCCCTAGGGCGTGTTGGCTAATGCAACACGCTATGTATAACCCGTGTAGAAATTTACCGTGAAAGTGTATGAGAAACTGTCCAGTTGCGCTAGATTCAATCTAGCAACTAGATGGGAAAAAAATTGGACAAGTGCGAGTTGTACTCGCACTGAAATGGCGGGTTCCGCACACAAATATTAAAACAATACTTGTAACATTGATCGGTAATTGGTAGAATTAAAATAAACAATTATAAAAATATATTAAAATCATTTGATAAAAAAAATAACTAAAAAAAATTAAAGTATTGTATATATCTAATATTGTAAACAATAATAAGCAGAGGAACTATAATAAATTTTGAAAATTTTGTTCCTCTGCTTATTATTGTTTACAATATTAGATATATACAATACTTTAATTTTTTTTAGTTATTTTTTTTTATCAAATGATTTTAATATATTTTTATAATTGTTTATTTTAATTCTACCAATTACCGATCAATGTTACAAGTATTGTTTTAATATTTGTGTGCGGAACCCGCCATTGCAGTGCGAGTACAACTCGCACTTGTCCAATTTTTTTTTATTTTTAGTTAAGAAATTAAAGTCAGAAAACAATCTCTTATTTATTCTCTTAAAATTTCACTCTTCCTTAAAATATTTAATGCCACGTGTTTAAACTAAAAAAAATTAAAAAAAATTTTTTTTTTTGAAAAAAAAAATTAAAAAAATTTTTTTTTTTATTTTTCTTCAAAAAGTTTCTTAAATAAATTTTTTGTCGTCAGACTGTAATAATACACTAGGATACCAATTTTCAGCTCATTAGGTCAAATAATGTAAAAGTTAGGGAAAAAAAAATTTTTTTTTTAAATTTTTTAGTTTTTCCTTGATAACGCTATGGCCATCATTACATATCAAGTTCTCTATATTTTTCCTGTAATATTCGAGTAAAAATACACCAGCATGCAAAATTTCAGCTCTCCATGTCGAATAGTTTAGAAGTTAAGGGGGGGGGGGAATGGTCACTTTTTATGCATTTTTGGCCAAAAATCTTGTTATTTCCTTGACAACGCTATGACCATCATCTCCAAACACATTCTCTATATTTTTCCTGTAATCTACGTGTGAAAATACATATCTGTACCAAATTTGAGCTCTTTAGGTCAAATAGTTTAGCCGCTAGGGGGGGGACACGATTTGGCTACGGACAACAGAGTCTCACCAATAGGGTTCCGCCGATACACCGTAGGTGTACGGAACCCTAAAAATGGACAGGCTTGAACGAGGGATGTAACACTAGCAACGTCAAGATTTTGTACAGTTATTTTGTCTAGTCCTTGTCTAGTAAAATAAATCATTCCTAGCCAGTTCCTGGATATTAAAATAAGCAGTTTCTACATACTGGGAATAATTGTTAGGTTTATAAATAATAGAACAATATTTTTCAACTTCACTCTTTTGTTTGTTTAACTTTTAAACAAACAAAACAGTAATACAAAAGTATTTGTTATTATCACAATTCCTCTTACAATTATTTTTGAAATTAATTGTAACATATTTTCCTACATTGGATTTTTTCTTTAAAACACAAACACATTCACTATAAAGATTCGTACTTGTATACCGATAATAAAATTAATTGTATATTATATTGTTGCAATCACAAAAAATTTACTTAAAATTACCAAAGTTTTATTACACTAGAACCTCCAACGATTGCATCTCTATCTATTGCAGTTGTTTACGAAAGTTTGGTGATCATCCGCTAGGGGGGTGAGAGGGGAGGACACCGCCATATTAATGCGAAGGCAGTATTGTACTAAGTTTAGTGTTCTTTTGCGCCCCGTTTTTTAAAGTTGTATTTTCATATTTCAACATGAGACTGAAAAAGGTCAAAAACGTAAAAGAACGCACTTAGACATTGAAACTAAACATAATATTTTTAAAAAAATAAAAAATGGCGAGAATAAAAATGACATTTTACGCCAATACAAAATATGTGAGAGTGTACGGCCCTGAGTGTTGACACTTTTATGGAAAGATGGCGCCAAGGTGAAAACCTCCATCTATTGCACACAAGAAGGTCACGCTGCAATCGTTGGAGGTTCTAGTGTACTTATTATGAACATTTTAATATGAAAAACAATCAAGACTATTAATGATGACATCACATGTCCTTTTTCTAATAAATCTTTTTTTCGCTGTAATATATTTAAACTTGTACACTGTCCCTGTTCAAAAATGGAAAACTGAAAACTTTTCACTAGATTTATAAATTTGATTTTATCTTCACAACAAGATAAGTTACAATTGTAGACTCTTGGTTTCTTTTCATCAAGCACTACGTCAAGAACTGATTTCGTCTGCTAGCTTAGTAGACTCTCAGAGCCACCTTCTCCACGAACTTGTACTAAATTCTTAAGTCAGCGTCATTGGGCGGTATTCATAGTCGATACTTATTTCTTAAGCAAGGACTTAAGCTGCCACCTAGATTCATAGTCGTGCAATGAGCAAATGCTTAAGCCGCAACTTAAGCATTTGCTTGGAAAAGTAAATTGTTCGATTTTGAGATGCATAGTCCCATCTTAAGAACGCCAAGTATTCATAGTCAAATAAGATGAACTTATTTGACATTGCCGGTGAACTTATTTGAACGAATTGAGGTTATGATTTTAAGTCAACGTTTTACTTGACTTAAGCAATTGCTTATTAGTGAATATATAATTGGAAAGTGTTCACAATGGATATATTAGATAATTTAAGTGATATTGATGACGATAGTGATAATGAAGGTGGTCCAAATAATATAAGACGTGCAAAAAGATACATTCGAGATGCAGAAAATCCTTTTGAAATTAATGAATGGGAGTTCCAGAGACGTTATCGTTTTACAAAAGATTCTGTGTTAGTTGGAATTTTGCCTGAAATACAGGCAGGTCTAATTAAACATAACAATCGTGGTTTACCCATTGCACCACAGCTACAGTTACTTATCTGTTTACGATATTTTGCAACTTCAAGTTTTCAGGTAATTTAAAATTTCTATTTATATTTCATTTTATTTAAAAAAGAACATTCTTGTAAATAATCAACTATTATGAAAAAACTTTACATGCAGTTTTAACCTTTTTTAAAAAAGAATTAACTTGTTATTAGAAATTAAATAGAATTTGTAACTTTTACAGTTGTAAACTATTAACATAACCTCAAACTTTACATAGTTTTAACCTTTATTTAAAAAAAAATTAACTTTTGTTATTGTAAATTAAATAGAATTTGTAACCTTTACGGTTGTAATCAATTAACATAACCTCAAACTAAAAGTTTATGTTTTATCAGAACTGAAAATATATTTAAAATGGATTTCACCTCATATTAAATAACCCATTTGTACAGTTTTTAAACAAAATTTATTGTTAAATAAAAAGGAATAAAATTAACAGTTTTGTACATAGTTTTTCTTAAAAATTACCTATAGCTAGAAATTTTTGTCCAATTTTTAAAAATATAGAAACTCATTTAATTTCTAAACGATATTTAAAAATTATAATAAATTTTATTTTTTTAAATTATAATCTTTAAAGGTAATTTTTTAAACAAAGTTTAACAAGTAGAGTGTAGAGAATAGTTTATAGTAAAATAAGTACTTAAAAGAATTAAGTAAATATTACGATTTGTACGTAATTTTTATGAAAAAACATAAAATGTTAATTAATCTTTTATTTAACATTCAATTTCCATTTAAAATAATTTTTTTGTGAAAATTGTAGAATTATGTAAACTCAATTTTAAATATAGTTTCAGTACTATTAAAATATATTATCTCGTGTGATGAGAATGTAAAAATTTTGAATATTATTTTGTATTATATTTTTGCAGCTTGTTCTTGCCGACACAATGAAAGTTTCTCAATCAACTGTCTCAAGAATTGTTTTTCGTGTTGCCACTTTGCTTGCCAGCCTCATTAATTTATACATCAAAATTCCAACAACTGGTGATGCCCGAAATGAAAATCATCGCTTGTTCAACGTTTTAGGAAGTGGTCATGGAGCAATAGGACTTCCTCGTGTTGATGGAGCGATTGATTGCACTCACGTTAAGTTAGTCGGTACAAGATTTAACCAGGTTGAAGAAATGTTTAGAAATAGAAAAGGTTATTTTTCTCTCAATGTACAAGTAGGTAGACTCTAATGGAAACAATTGTTATTGAGGATTTCTATTGCAGAATAGTAGAAACGTTATTTCTGATATGAAATTTCCATTAAAGGCTCCAAATTAAATATACATTTAAGCTTCCGAATATTTTTTACATCGTACATTCTGACATTTTTTAAGTTTATGTTTAAAAATGAAAATTATGCAATTTTTTTCTAGGTTGTGGTGGGACCACGAATGGAATTTCTCGACATTGTACCAGAATGGCCGGGTAGGGCACATGACAGTCGGATATTTCAGAACTCATTAATTCACATGCGCTACGTTCAAGGACGATTAGATGGGATTCTTGTAGGTGATAAAGGATATCCCTGTTTGCCTTTTCTTATGACACCTTTCAGAAATCCGCATAATGAAGAGGAAATGAAGTAAGTATTTAAATTATTTTTACATAAATATAACTACTTATTGCTGAAAAGAAAAATTGACATTTATGTAAAATTAAATTTTTTAGGTACAATGAAATTCAAATAAGAACGAGAATAATTGTTGAGCGAACTTTTGGTGTGTGGAAACGAAGATTTCCATGTTTGGCGCGGGGAATGGCAACGAAACTCATTTGTTCTACAACGACTGTAGTAGCATGTGCAGTTTTACATAATATGGCCTTACGTTTCAATGAAATATTACCAGAAGACGATGAGTTACATGAATATGAAGAAGTTCCTGTACCTAATGCAGAAAATATTAATATGGATGGAGAAGTAGCTCGTCAATTACTAGTTCATCGTTTATTTAATGGATTATAAGTATTATATGGATTATATGTTTCGGTAAAATATATATAAAGAATTTAATTTTTTAAAAACAAAAAGTCAAAATATTTTGTGTATATACATATTTTTTTATTTCATAAACAATAAAATTACAAAAAAAGTGTATAAAAGTTATTTATTATTTAACATTTTAATAATATTACTATATTATACTTGAAGAATAACACATCTTTACAGCCTTACTTCATTTCATTTAAAATAATAATTTGTTAAACAATCTTGATTTCCAATATAAAATTAAATATAATATATAATATAATAAAATGTATGAATATTATTAAATATAAAAAATCTAAAAAATAAAATTCGGTATAATAAATTGTCTCTACTAAATTATAAAATGCACACTTAATTACTTAATACTGTTAATTATACTAACTTTGGAATAAATAAATTAAAATATTCTAAAATGAAGTATTTAAAGAAGTAACATAAATTAAAAATTCGAAGCATATGAAATTAATCTTACAATTTACTTTTACTTAATCCATTGCCTGTCTTAACCGCATCTCCGCTATTTGAGCTTCTGCCTCGGCTTTACGAATTTCTAATTCGTAAATTTTTTTTAAATGCTCCATTTCAAAATTCTGTTTTCTAATTTGGTGCTCCAATTTTAATGAAAGCAACTCTTCCTCTTTCTGCATTAAACTCCATAAACGTTCAGTCTTCTTTGTATTATGCTTCTCAAGTTTTTGTCTGATAATTTTATTATTTGGCGTAGAGTGCACCACGTTCACCTTTTCCTCGTCGAGCATGGACTCCTTGCTCACACACCTCTTTTTCACAGACAAAGGAGAAGATGTTTGTGATCGATTAATTTCATCTTCTTGAAATCGCCTCTTCTTAACATCAGACACAGAAGATGAAGTATTCAAATGAAATGAAACTTCTGATTCATCGATCGCAGAGTTAGACGTTACAACGTCCTTGAGAGTCTCTGGTGATATAACTTCCTCATCGAATACTGCATTTCGACGGTCTAAAATAAAACAAAACATTTGGTTTTAAAACAAACAACCTGAAAATTTTTGAAAAATTTAAAAAAATTTTTTTAAAAAAATTTTAAAATTTTTTAAACAACCTGAAAATTACTTTACCATTTATTAAATCTTCTGAGAAGTTTGAAGAAAAAAGTGATGGCGCAGTGGTCATTAAATCAGGAACTATAGCTGCTATCTCTGGATTCACTTCAGCAACTTTTATTGGAACATCAAGGTTTCCCGTTGCCATTACATCCTGCCTTTCCTGAGTTAAAGCATTTCTCTGTTGCGCCTTCATGTTGCTCCACATTTTTTTCAATTGTTTAATAGACCTCTGAAAAAAATTTGTTTAGAAACTTCAAACATATATCTTAAAAAAATTTCGTTTGCTTAGCACAATCAATTGGTTGTACCTGCTCTGCAATATGTACTGAGCCATTGTATGTTTCTTCTATTTCACTCCACGCAACCTCCTTAGCTTTCATGGTGGAACCATCGTTTTTGCGATTTTCAATAATGTGCGAAAATCCTTTAAGAATTTCAAGGAAAAGTTTTTTTTCCGCATCTGTGTAATGCTTTTTAGACATTTTATTTCTACAAAAAAATGTTATAATAATTAGTATAAAATTTAAGATTTATATATATATATTTAAAATTATCGTATAATAACAATTACAATTTTAGAAACATTATTTATTATATTTTTTATTTGATCAAAATTATGAAAGTTACGGTTTTTTTTTAGACTTAACGTTCTCAGATACAGAGGACTTCAAACACTTTTTTCTTTGTTATACCAATAGATAAAGAATTATATAATATATGGAAATTATTTATTTTTTCATAAATATTTCAAATATGTAATAAAAAATAACACTAATAAAGCGAAAACATTAAATAAATTAAAATTTCGTCTAAAATATGAGTTTTCTCAAAAGCGAAGTTATTGATTTTCGATTTTTTTCTTTCGCATTACAACCACTGACAAATAAAGAAATTTTTCTCACTTATGCCAAAGTGGTGTTCTTTAGAATTCAAATTATATTTTAAATTACGTCAGTCGTTGCACAGATTTTAGAGAAGGAACCCTAAAGAACACCCTTTGGCATAAGTGGGAAAAATTTCTTTATTATAGTTGTTAATTTTTTTTTAAATATTTTTTATTACATATTTGAAATATTCATGAAAAAATAAATAATTTACATATATTTTATAATTTTTTATCTTTTGGTATGGTATATCAGAGAAAAAAATGTTTCAAAAGTCCTCTGCATCTGAAAACGTTAAATCTAAAAAAACTATGATTTTCATAATTTTTAGCACATAAAAAAATGAAAAAACATGTATATTTACTTTTATTTTTATATAGAATTCGAAAAAAATTGTTGCAATCAAAAAAAAATTTTTAATGAAAATTACACTGTGAATGCCCCATATTCATTAAAAATAAAAAAATGTATTATAAAGAATTAAAATAATTATACAGTAAAGTCAAATAATTTTTAAGAAATAATTTTTTTAAAAACTATAACGCATATTGCAAATAAATTTTTCTATCTTAATGAATACAAATTTATTTCAATATATTTATATTTTTTCAGGATTTCTTAATTCTGACAAAATATATATTCATTGAAATAAATTTGTTTTCAATTTCACTTTTTCCCCATTCAGGTAGTCATTTTTTGTATCCTTTTACTTTAAAACTTTTTTCCTGAATATATTGAGATTTTGCTCACGTTAAGGGACTTAATCCTACACCCCCATAAAATCCAGATGTCAACATTTCGCTCACCTCTTCGAAAGTAGTAAGAAATAAGACTGGTTTTACTTTCGAAAATTAAAACATATATTCTAGCTTGAAAAAAATTATTTAAAAAAATTTATATTACGCATTACAAAAAAGAAGTTTATTTATAAACTTTTTAATTTTGCTTCTTCTTATTTTTCTATATAGTTGAGCTATTACTTTTCTGACAAAGATAGTACATGAAAAATAAATTACTTAGTCTTTTTAATAAGAAAATAAAAAATAAATCGTTATTATTCTATAAAAGCTGCACTTAGTTATAAAAATATTAATATTGGTCAGTATTTTATAAATATTCTACTGTTATGTGTTCTATCTGCATATTATTATTTTTCTTATTTTTAATTTATTTTATTTGGTGTTTTTTTTAATTTTTCCGCTTTTAAACAATATTAATTATTAAGAACTTCATATTTTTAAATTTTGTTTCATTACTACACTTGAAAAAATTTAATAAATAAAATATTTTACAAATTTACATTTTAAATTGATTAAACAGTCTTGAATTAGACATTTTTATAAATTAAATTATAAAAATATACTTACATTATTAAATCACTTGTTCACAACTAATACACCAATTTTAAACTTTTACATATAAAATGTATTGAATATTTATATTTGAATTAATCACTATAAAAACAATTAAAATAGCAAGATGCACTGACTGATATTTCAAACGAAACGAAAAACTCAAATTGAATGCAACGCGAAGGTATTATACGAATATTGCTTGTGCGCATTGAGGCGAATTCTCAAAACCATCGTTTATTGGTAAATACAAGAGAATATTTACGGAAAGAGCCGAACGTTCAATAAGTTCATCTTAAGCATTTGCTTGGTCAAGAAGTTCTTAAGCTGCATTTTCTTTACCAAGCAATTGCTTATTTTTGACTATGAATACATACGGTCTTAAGCTCGACTCATTCGAATAAGACCGACTTGATCAAGCAAAGCTTAAGTCCTTGCTTAAGTCGGGACTATGAATACCGCCCCTAGACAGTGCCCAGCTAATTCTTGGACAACCTGCTATACAAACTTGTACTGAATTTTCAATTCAGTATCCTAGACAAATTTTATCCAGATTCTAGACTGTCTTCATACCGAAGAAAATAAAGGGGAAAACTGTACATTAACATTTCGGGGCCAGGACAGTTTATTCAGAATAATTTTCCACGACAAATGCTATCTAGCTGTAGTCTATTTCTAGGAAGGCCACGACAAATTTCTACACGGGAAAGAGCAATACCTACGATACCGACGAAGTGTACGTTCATTGTAGAAAAAAAGTAAGCGTAATATAGGGACGTTCGACTTTTTAAAAGAAAGCTGAGGTACTAGAGTAACTTTTCTAGGTGATAAACACTTAATTAAAACAAAAATGTCCGTGTAAATCAACAAAGAGTGAAAAGTTAGCCATTACGCTCCGGTCTACACTACACAAAAACCTTGATACTAATACTTTAAGAATATTTTATCTGCTTCTGCAAATAATATTTCTACTAAGAGTTAGTATAATTAAAAATAACTTCACAATTTAAATCATCAAGACCAAAAATATACATTTAAATCCACTTTATCTCGCAATCATCAGCAAACAAAAACATGTGATGAGAATGTAATCCTTAAAGTCGTAGTAACTTTAAGAAAAAAAATGTTTTACGAAACATATAATAGGAAACAAGAACAAGAACACAAATAATGCACAACAATTGCAGACCGCCGCAAGCGAAGCGAGCCATTTGCGCGCGAAGCGCGCAACAACACACGGAGCGCGAAGCGCGACGTGTGGAATAATCGCCGGAGCGCGAAGCGCGACGATCAATATTCGCGCGCCCCGAGGCGCGCTGAAACTTGCGAGCGAAGCGAGCCCCCGCGCGAAGCGCGGATGAGAATGTGTCCGCGCTTGCGCGGACAGATTTTTTAACATATAATCATAATGAAAGTCATAAATAAGCGTCTTTGACAAATCAAGTACCGAAAAACCAATGTAAATTGGTTTGTTCATTAAAATTTCTGTTTTTCTAAGTTCAATCGCTACTAAATTTTCATTAAATATTGACCGACTGTGAAAGTTGGGTTTGGAAATGAGAGCCTCAGCACCATAGCGACCATTCCATTTAGTTACAAGTTTAACGTCGACATGTTTCCGAACATTTTCCATCGTTTTTCCATAT